GCCAACACTATTCACCTCCTGAGAAAGAAGAGAGGGCCTTGAATTTCACATTTCCACATTATGCATATCTTGTTTCATATGTAAAAGAAGAAAAAGAGGCAGGAGGAGAAAGAAATGACAGGAAAACCCCTGGGACCAAATAATGCAGGTACATGATTTATATATATATTTTGCTTTACAGATTATTTTATTTTCCTGTTTTCTAAGATCTCAGAAGTAAAGGATTCTGGGACTCAGTGGAAAGGTTTCATACTTAATGAGATCAGACTAACTGATCATATATAAATACAATTGAGGGGCTGAAGAGATGGCACATTGGCTAAGAGCACTGTCCTTGTGGAGGACCTGGGTTCTGTTCACATCACTCACATGACAATTGGCAACCATTCATAAGACTTAGGGCCTTGCACAGCCAGGGCTTGTCACCACTACGGGGGCAGGAGAGAGGGTGTTCCTCTCTCTTCTGTACCACGTACTTCTCCCTCAGCCCAGAATTCAGTAGCTCATACCCCTCCTCACATCTGCTTTAATTGGCAAGCTTGTTGTTACTGTTTTTATTCTTGCTGGCAAAGAATGGGGAAAACCAAATTCTAAGACCTTTACTTCCAGAAGTTTCATGAACTGAAAGTTTTCTGAAATGAAGCTGCATACCAAAAAAATGCATGCCTAAAAAAATTTGTTTCTTTCTGTGCAGTGCTTTGATCCAATGTATAACTCAAGGTGGTAGTTGTGCTTACCAGTGGGCTTCGTACCACTGACTGTGGAGATGTAAGAATTAGGGACCATACACGAACCTTTCTCACTCAAGATGTGTTTCTTTACTGGCCTTTCAGGTGCTCTCTTCCTTCTCAGCACCATCTCAGTATCAGCTGTAGTCTCAAGGAATTGGGCGGAGGAAAAATCTCTAGAGATTGTTGTCGGGTGTAGCTGGCTCATTGTAGCTGCTTAGCAATGAATTAGCCACATTATATTACATTCTGGGCAGATTTTTTTGTAGCTGTTTAGCAACTCTGCTTCCAGCTGCCTGTCAGGGAGCCAGGCTTTGCATCCTGATCAAGGGAGGCAATCCGTGTCACATGCTCCAGCCCTTAATTCTCAATGGATCTTCAGAGTTGCAAAGGCATCCCAAATGTACATGGCTGTGGTTTTATCATCTTGCATTCATCACTCAATTCAGTCAGACAGGTTTTTATTATGCAGCAAAATTGCTGCTCTAGGGTAAACTTTGACATGATGCTATTGTGTTTTTGACTGAATCAGCTAAACCAAGAATAAAAGGACAGGAAGTAGACCTGAGCTATGTTTCAGGTCTTTATTTTCAAAGCAGCTGCTGTTGAAGTCCTTGGATATGCACTAGGAGAGTTCCCAGCATTCCAGGCCTTCTTGAGTAGATACCAGTAAGTCATTTGTCTTTGAATTTTACTCTTTTAAGGAGTTTCAAGCACTGAATGCAACACCAGAGTTTTAATTATGGTGATAGGAATTGTATCAGTTTTATATGTTGAGACTGGATGCTGGGTTTGACTGTATCAGCATCTGCAGGTGTTTACTTAGCAGCTAGCCTGCAGGATGCAAGGTGAGAAAGTGCAAAACCCAAGGAACCTCGAAGGTCAGTGGAACAGACCACCCAGAGCTCGTCAAGTCGATGAGCTGGCCATAGTTAAAGAACTCTAGAAAAAGCACAGCCAGATTCTGAAGCTCATTATGTGTGAAGCCTCTTCTCTTCACTACGTTTTTTAATGGGATGTTCCTTGAGCTTTCACTCCTCTATAGGACACTGGGCACATAAGACAGGTGTCTACCCCCAACAACTAATGGTATCTTGTGCCATTAAACTTTACATATGCACCAAAAAAATATGTGTTTGAAGGAGATAGATGATAAATTAGAAGATATGGGGAAGTGGAAGTCATTCCCATGTGAGGAATTTTATTGGTCAGTACTATTAATGTATTAAAATATTTCCATCTTCCATTTGTTAGAAATCAGTCCTGTGACCATGCTAACCTGCAAGGGGGCTGGGAAATGTGTAGCTCTGTTGAGAGACAAAGGAAGCACATTTTGGTAAAGATGTGGTTTCTTTTACACTACCTTTTATTTAATGAATTGAACTTTATGCTATACACAGTGGTGAGCTGTGCTCAGCCTTAGCAAAGGTGAAAATAAGCTCCCTAGTAATGAAAGTTTCATAGAGAGAGTAGGGTTTTGTTGTTTATTTTCATAGCTTTATTCCAAATGTGATACACTTAAAGAAATACGTGAAAAATAGTAGAATGGGGGATAGGTGCTGGACAGGAGTCCTATACACATGGGTTTGTCTGGGATGGAAGCATGGAAGAGAGTTGAGACTGGGAAGCCAGGTTGGAAGCCCTTGTGATTATCTGATAGAGCCTGAGATAGACCAGTTACAATAGGGATGTGTTCCTTTATAGAAATGTTTACTTCTGCTGTTTTAACCCAGTTAGTTTATAGCATAGCCACAGATTGTAGTCTAACCAGAATCTCTTTTGAGTTGAAATCATAAAAACAGGTTGTGAGCTGCAACTGTGTTCCTAGCAAAGACCAACACTTTCTTTGGAGGCATTACTTGGAATCAGCCTGGGGACTTGGGCTGTGCCACAAGACTGCATGCAACCCAAACAAAATAAAACTTGACTAAGCCAGCAAACCAAGACTGGAGTTCAAGTTACTTTAACAGACTCTGGGGAAACACAAACTGCAGTTGTATTAGGTATGCAACATGTGCTCTTTGACCTTAAGGAAAATTACTGGAGCACACATAATCTTCTGCCAGCTTTGCAAAGTGTTGAATAAGTTAACTTTGAGCAATTGTTCCAATATTTAAAACCTTTTACTTTCAAAATATACTTTAAAAATAGATGCTAATCTAACAAGAACAGCAAATATCAATGAAAAGATTGCACTCTCTGCACACCTAAGAGAGACCAGCACACAGACAACTTTGTGTGGTCAGAGCTTTGGCGTTTAGGAAGTTGCTCACAGATGAATTCCTTTGAAATCAAAAGCTAAGGGCAGCATCTTCCTATCATTCCTCTGGATGTGGCCTCTGTGTCTTGGGTAGAAGCTAGGCTATGTCAGGGGCTTACCCAGATTCACAGTACCCACTCCTGAAGTCTGATGACAGGCCTCCAACTTCAGGATTGTACAGAGTTGAGTGAGAAGTCTCACAACAGCCCAGGATTCTTGGGAGATTTTTGATGATTCTTGCCAATCTGGAAATAATATAAAAACAGAAGACTATTTTGTGGTATTTTTGCATGTTCTGTATTATTTTAGGGAACAATCCAACATTAAAGAGGCTCAAAAAGAACGAATATTCAAGAAAATTAACATGCCCTCTTTTTTATTCGTCTTCACCAAAAAATAAGCTGTAATGATAAAAATGTCAAGAGCAGTAAGGAAACAGACGATGGCAGCAAGAACAGAGTCTGAGTTGGTGGCAGTGAGTAGGGCGAGGGAGGAGTCAGTTACCCCTCCCACCCAGTCAGTCACCTTAATTGCATATGGGGGTGAGGGGCAAAGGATATATAAGCCAAGAAGACCAAGAGGCACCTCCCTCACCATTTTGTGTGGCTTTTGGGAGGTCACAGGATCTGTATTTGAGTGTGGACTTTATGGTGCAGCTGTAAATGTGGGGCGCCCACATTTCTGTAAGTAAACCCATACCCTATATGTTAAAAAAATAATAGTAAATAAAATATT